AAGATTCAAACTAATCAATAGTTTGGTATCCGATTTTCACCGCGACACATTCAACATACTTCTCACCATATTCATGATGATTCTATTTTTTCTTTCTGCAATTCCATTTTTCTGCGGAGTGTAGGGTGGCACCACCTCATGCACAATCCCTTCTTTTTCACATAATGCATCAAACTCTTTCGGCTCATACTCTCCATCATCATCAGTCCTCAGAATTTTAAGCTTTTGATCACTCTGTCTTACAACCATAGATTTGAATATGGAAAATACTCGATCACATCACTTTTCTTCTTGATGAGGTAAGTCCATAGCTTTCGACTGTATTCATCTATGAGCGTGACAAAGTATTTGTTGTCTGTAATTGAATCAACCTGGATTAGACCATATACATCAGAGTATATGACTTCCAGAATTGCCTTCGACTTCCTTCCTCATCAACGCAAAATCAAAATTTTTGTCGTATGCATGGTTTATTACCAGGATTTTGGAGCATTTTGAAGTGGATCTCGAAGGCTTTGATGTGTGTCTCATGGACTCAAATACCAACAAAATCTCCATAAAAAATGTAGACTCAAGGATTGGCGTGAAATATGACCCGGAAGCAAAAACTATTGTTTACATTAGTGAGGGTATGGATGGAAATGACGGAAACGAGTAAGAGAATGAAGAAGACGATGATGTTCCTCCTCCACCTACTCAAAATGGTCCTAGTAACCAAGAACTTATGGACTTCATGGCTCAACAATTTGGAAACCTTAACACTTCCATCAGCAAGCAATACAATGCCATTAATGAGTCAACCACCACTAGGATCAACAACTTTCAAGAGGCAGTTAATCAACAGTTTTCATATCTCTATTTTCACATTTACATTCCACCATATAATCCATCAAACCCGACTATTCCCCCACCACGTCAACCACCACTACAACAATCTTTTCCAAACCAACAGTCATTTGACCCCAACATGGACCTTTCCTAAGTTGTCTACATGTTTTTGTGTTTATCTTTATATCTATGTACTTTTTAATTCTGCACTTTTTCTTATCTATTGTACTTTGCACTTTAAATCTATGATTAGTTGCTATGATATTGAATCATTGTCTCTTGTCTATATATGTTTTATTTTATCCATCTTTCCCTTCTTTTTGATAATGTCAAAAGGGGGAGAAAGGTGTTACTCTTTCTTTGCTTGTTTTCTTTCCTTGATCCTTAAGGTACAAATGCAAGGCTACTCCAAACCTCAATACAAAATCATATTTTCTCAACACTTCACACATTGAGGGGGAGATCTATATCTCAGGGGGAGAAACTTGTCGAAAAGAACATCGCAACAAAAGATAATGCTTTGTCATCATAAAAAAGGAGGAGAATATGGAATCAAGTTTCTCAAGATCAACTTATGTTTTGATGAAGACAAACCACTTAACAAGAAGGCAAAGATGTTCAGTCATTTTCAAGACATCATGTTAAAGTAAAGAATCAGGACAAAGACATGATATGAAGAATAATCTCATTGGAAGGTATAATGAAAATCTTCATCAAGTATTTAAGTCCTAGTTGCTCAAATAACAAAAAAAAAATCATTGCATTACATGATCACACATTCATAAGCTTTTGTTAGCAAGATTTTTCTAAGTTTTTGCCAAAGCAATCGATTGCACTCTTTGGAGCAATCGATTGCATGATCAAAATTTTCCTTTCTGTTGGCTACTGTTTTTTGGTGCAATCGTTTGGCATAAATGTGCAATCGATTTCATACGTGAAAAATCTTCTTGTTTTTGCTTAAGTGTTTTGTGAAATCGATTGGTGCTTTTAATACAATCGATTTCTCAGTTCAAAATTTCAAATTTCAAGTGTTTTTTTAGTGTGCAATTGATTGGTCCTGTGTGTGCAATCGATTTCTCACTTAACGTTTTTGAAAAATTGCACCTCTTCAACCATTCTTTTATGAATTGTTTCCATTGAATCATGGAAATTGTTCATTATATTTTCTAAAGTTTTGCATGATAATTCAAAGGGGTTCTTGTGACATATAAATACCTAAACTTTCATTTTTCAAAAACACCTCTTTCAAAATCTTTGATAAAATTTTCATCTTTCCACATCTTGAGTCAAGTCATTTTTCATAAGAATTTTCTGCATATTTTTATATCATTTGAAAGAAAATTCTTGAGCAACAAAGTCTTAAATAGTTGTGGAAATTATCATTGAAAGAGAAGATCAATCATAGGATTGATAACTTTGTATACACAGATTTAAAACTCATTGTAAATCAAAGATTATATTTATTCACCTTGCTATTCAGGCTTGTTGAAAGCAAGTGTGTGCATTGAAGTGGATTGTTCTTCTTGCACTTAGTGTTAAGATTTTAAAGGTGTTAAGAGCCTTTAATCTATCTATAGGTTAGATAGTAAGTTGTACGCTCATTCTAACTATAGTGAAATCTCTTTCGGTGTGAAAGGGGACTGGATGTACCTTCGGAATATGGAGGAAACCAGGATACTTCTCTGTGTCATTTACTTTCTGCACTTTATTGCTTTCATAACCCCTTCATATCTCAAGAAAAGTAATAACCTCATTTGATAAAAATCAGAAAATTTTAAAGAACCTAATTCACCCCCCCTCTTAGGTGCAACTCAGACTATCAGATTCTAAGTTGAGTATTATGAAGAGATGGTAGATGTTAACCCTATCTCTGGGCATGTAAGAAGTCACATTCTCAAAGCTTTGATTCATATGGAAAAGGACTTACTAGAGATCATTGTTACATCCTCTACTAGGAATACTATGTGTGAAAGGGTTATCAAGATGCTTATTCCTCAAAGCGTTGGAGTTTCTACTTCCCATCATCCTATTCCTGGTAATGACAATGTTGCAACTCTTTCAGAGCAGTCTCGTGAAGTGTCCAAGCCTGGATATGATGATATGTTCAACTCTTGAAATTAAGAAGACGGTTATTTTGTTATTGAATAGGTCTCTAATAGTGAATCTCATACTATATCGTTCTAATTTTGTTTTTTCGCTTTTTGGATTGTCGGTTTTATGTTGGATTATTTGAATATTTTATTGGTTTGTTTTTTTGTTTTTGTACCCTCCTTTTGTTTTGATTGTTGGTTACGTGTTTTACATTTGACCTTTTTGAATAAGAAAAAAAGGCACTTATGGTACTTCATATTTTATTTGGTTATGTTAATTTGATGACTAGATTGTGTTTTGGTTAATTTATCTTCTTGTTAGCCATATCTGAAGATTGTTGTGTTAGAAATGTTCAAATTTTTATTTTGCCTAAAAATAAACAAATGGGAGTTTCTTATCATATATGGATTGCCTTATTTTTATTGACAAGATGTTAAGCAAGATGTCATGAATGTTGTTGAGACATTTTAGCTCCTTATCCACTAGTGCATTTTTTTTTTTTAAATTGTTTGGTCTTAAGTTTTGCATGATCATTTAGGAATGAAGTATATTCGAATCATATTTATTTTGTTTTAGATTCTGCATGGTTATTTTGAAAAGATTTATTTTGTTCTAGAACCTGCTTGTTTTATTTTTGAAAGATTTCTTTTGAAAATATTTATTTCGGTCAATATTAGATATGCCAGGGATTTGTCTATGAAAACCTAATAGACATGATAACCCAATTTACTCTATATAAATATAGAAAACATATATTCATCATATGAATTTGTAGTGGATGTTTTGCTTATAAGAAACAAAGTGTGTCTTGATTGTGTTGAATTAATTATAAGAGTATGTTTGGATGATATAATTGAGAATTTTTAAGGGTTTTAAATTTCTAAGCAATTTAAATTATTCAATTGAAATTCATTCATTTTTAAAAAGTTTTATTTGGATAAAGTATTAAAATGATTCATTGTTAAACTTTTAAGGTTATTTTCATAAATTTTAAAAATTTTGAGCCAAATTTAAAATATAAAAAATATGGACTAATTTGCAATTTTTGAAAATTTCAAAGGAATAATTTGTAAAATTTGAAAAATTTTAAGGACTTATTTGCAATTTTAGAATATTCAAGGGGTGAATTTGAAATTTTTATAAAATATGAAGACCATCTTGCAAATTTTAAAAATTTAATAATAAATAATTTAACAATTACATGATATAGAGTGAAAGAGTAATTTCAAATTTCTTATTTTTTTAGTGTCATTTGAAATTACTTAAATTTAACTTGAATAAAATACTTCATAAATTTACATATTTTAATATTTTTTTTATCCAAACAATAAATTTTGGTCAAGTTATTTTAAATTCTCTCAAAAAATTACTATTCCTCGTTAAAATGCGTCATTCAAACACACTCTAAATTATTTTCTACTATTCTTTGTAGTTTTCTTCACATTCTTATTATTAAAGACTTGTAAATATTTGAAAAAGTGTTTGACTTAAGGTAAGAGAATCTCTAATTTGAGAAGTTAAAGTTAAAATTTAAATATAATATTAAAAAAAAAAGGTTTTAGACCGAAGATAGTCATATATTATTTATTATTTTTGAAAAATACTTGCATAGAAATATCTAAATTTATATTATTAGGAACAACCAATAAAAAGAGAGAGAAAATTAAATTTATTATAAATTTAAATTGATTTTTAATTGAAATTATGAAGTGGTGGTTATTAAAAAAAAAATATTTTGTAATTAATAAAAAATTATAATTGATTGTTTCTAAAAAATACGTGTTATGTTTATTTTTATACAAATCTTTGTCTTACTTTTTATTAGTGAATTTCTTTTTTTATTGGACTATTGCCTTCTTCTAAACATAGTGGCAATTGCACCAACTCGGTTAATTTTTTTTATCTTTTATTTTACTTTGTTTAATAATTTATCTATTATTTCAAATCATCATATCCAACCGATTTTCAAAATCAATATCAAAATTAAATACTTAATAAAGGCCAGTTATTTATTTAAGAATCGAACTAGCCGATAGCATACACGAAGCAAAATATGTTTTACAACTTATTGATTCTTTAATCTAAACCTTTCCAAGAAGAACAGGAATACTCTGCTCATTCCTGAAAAAATTACCAGGATCAACTGCTGTCTTAATCTTAACCAGCCTATCAAAGTTCTTATTGAAATACTTAGCACCATAAACTTTACCTTCTTCATAACTATTCTTACCAAAGCTATTGATCCCGATATCAAGGTCTCTATAGTTTATATAAGCACTTCTTGGATTCTTTGTCACATAAGGTTCCATGAAACTATAAAGACTCTTAGCTTGATTCAAATAATTCAATGCAAGAGTAGGTGATGGATCATTCCAATTCACTGAATACTGAATTTTGAACAGATTTCCGCGGTGGGGAAAAGGCGTTGCGTCGACCGGAATCTCAGCTACTTTTCCACCGTAAGGATTAAAAACAAATCCAACTTTTCCCAACTCAATCATCTTTTTCCATATCAATTCCAAAGCATCTCTTGGAATAGGTTTCTGAACATAATCAGATTTTCTCTTCCCGTAATGAGCCGAATTAACATTCCTATCCAAAAGACTCTCCGGTTTCGCGCCATTCTTAAAATTCAATTGACTGTAGTACCAAATAACAGAATTGATCCAGCTCAACTCAAGACAATCCTCTTTCTTCAAACCCAAATGTGGAAATTCCTTCCTTAAAATCGGTACCAACTCCTTCGCGCCACCGAGAAACAAAGCAACCACAGAAGCTCTAACAGTTTTTTTTCTTTTGACAGTCTTGGAACTTATAGGCTGCAAGAGAAGCCTCATGAAAAGCCTATTATCAGTAGTTGGAGCAACTTGTTGCCATTGAACAACAAGATCAGTAGCATTCTGTTCCAAAGTTTTCTCAATTCTGAAAACAGTAACGGTTTCAGGAACCGCTACTAATTTAATAGTATAAGATAAAACAACACCAAAACTAGCACCACCGCCACCTCTTATAGCCCAAAAGAGATCTTCTCCCATTGATTTTCTATTCAAAAGCCTTCCCTTAACATCAACAATTTCAGCGTCAATAATATTATCAGTAGAAAGACCATATTTTCTCAACATTGTTCCATACCCCCCACCACTGATGTGACCACCAACACCAACAGTTGGGCACACACCAGCAGGAAAGCCATGAACTTTACTCTTTTCGTAAATTCTATAATAAACTTCACCAAGTGTAGCACCTGCTTGAATATAAGCAACTTCTCTTTTTGCATCAACATTGATTGTTCTTAGATTGAACATGTCAAGGACGATAAAGGGTGATTCATTTGAGATATAAGAAATACCCTCATAATCATGTCCACCACTTCTGATTTTGACTTGAACGTTGACTCTTTTGGCGCAGATAATGGTGGATTGAACATGTGAGGGTTGTTTTGGAGTAACAATGATTAACGGTTTGGAAGTTGAGGAAGTGTTGAAACGTGCGTTACGGATGTAGTTTTGAAGGACAGCGGAAAATGAAGGATTTGATTGTGGGAAAACTATGTTGGAGATAGATGGATCAGTTGTGTTTTGTGTGAGACAGTGAAGGAAAGTTGAGTACAAAGATTCTGCTTTTGGTGGTGCTGCCAAGGATGAAGAGAAAAAAAGACACAGAAGGAAAAATGGTGTAGAAAGAAAATAGAATAGTGGAATTGGTTTTGATTTTGCCATGTTTGTGATGAAAAAGTGATAGGAATTGTGCAGTTTTATAGAGATGGATTAAGTGTATTATTGTGTAATAGTTTGGGAAGTGTAGGTACACATGTTTGTAATTTTTGAAAACGTGAGAATTGACTTAATATATTTATTAACGTTGTCTTGTTTTTTAGAGCTTAAGTGTTTAGAGGTATAATTGTTTTTTTTTTCTGCATGTATGCTATACTCTTTTATTTATAAATCGAAAAAATAAAAAGAATTGAGAAATTTTGTAATACCTTTGAGTTTGGTAATAGGTGTATTTTTAGAATTTAATTGATTTAATAGTAAATTAATATAAACAATATATAACATAAGATAGTTGAATGATAAGTACATAGTCATTCAAACTTTAATGTATCATTATTTTTTTAAATTAATAATTTATTTTGATCAAATAGTATTGTTTTTATCATTATGGTAAATAAAAAATAATAAATATATTTACTTAAAACTAATAAAAGGAGAGAAATTGGAAAAAAAAATTATATTATATTAAAAATAAAAAATAAATAAATTAAACACAAATACTTTTAAAAATAAATAAATTACTACTAGATAAAACACTTGAATCAAAATCAATAAAGTCTTGTCAAGAGGCCTATGATATCTTTGCGGTAAAAAACTTTAATAGATAGTACTTTATATCTTTTAACGTGATAATGACATGATTTGTCGTAATATGAGACGTAGCTATAGGAATGTCTCGCAATTCTCAATCATAAAACTAAAACTAATTTGTAATTGTTTATGATCGACTCTAAACACGAGACCGTAGGTGAATTGTAACTTTTAGAAATCCAGAATAATTTAAAAAATAGTTTTTTTTATAAATAATTTATATTAATTTGGAGATAAAGTAACAAGAAATAGAAAAGAAAGAAATTAGAAATAAGAAAAAAAGTAAATAAAAAAAAGGGAAAGAGATAGAGATAAAGAGATTCTACCAAAATGTATTTAGATTTGGCTTAACCACTTGACTTTACATTTGTCTTTAAGAATTTATTTTTTAAAGTTCTACTAATAAAATATTTTGATATTGGAAGGATATGTCCATAAACCTTCTTATAATAGACAAGTGATTTTATAGATACCGATCTTCCAAATCAAACAAGGCTTTTAATAGTCTGAGTTCAAAAATCATGTTGAGATTTTAATCAGCTAATCTCAAGAACCAAACTAAAATTTTATTATGACAATTTAAATAACCAAATTGAGATTTTACCGGAATAATCTCAAAAATCAAATAAACTAATTAAACAAGAAAATTACACCCTGGATAAAGAATACTAAAGTATGAACACTAGTACAACCAAACTTTCGCACATGTTTTTCACTCACAAGACACTAAGACAACTTTAGTGAAAGAATTTAAAAAGAGTAGAAAGTGAAAAAGAAGAGATTCAAAATGAAATTTAGTATATTTTGGGATCAGGATTTGCAAAAAGAAAAAAGATCCACGAACTTTTTATACATCTAATTGATTAAGAGTTTATCAATTAGATAGGCAGAATATAGAAGATTTTCAAATTTGTCGTCACTAATCATTTATAAGTCTTATCTTTAGCTCAAAATATATAACAAGATCTTCTAAGGTCTAGTAGCAAAACTGGATCTTTGATAGTGTTGTAACTAATAATAATTAATGATCATATGTGTATTCTAAAATGACAAGAAAATATGAAAGTGAATGTTGTTTTAAAAATTCAGAAATTGGCAACACTTATGAAATGTTGCAGTAGATAATTTGGTTTTGAATTCAAAAATAGGCAAACATTTTTGTAAAGTGTTGCACTGGGAAGTTTGTTTTTGAATTCGAAAATAGACAAAGCTTCGTAAAGTGTTGCATAATGCAGTCAGAAATAGGCAATGCTTTTGAAGTGTTGCACTAGGTGAAAAATCATAACACTCTGCAAAAAAAGTGTTATTGAAAATGTTTAATTCATCAAGGGTCGCAACCTTGTGAAACAACACTATTTGACCTATAAATTCATAATTCCAGATTAAAATAAACAATAACAAAAGTACATTTTCTTCACTAAATTTCTTCATATATACTGGTTCCTCTCAACTAAGATTAGTTCAGTCCCCTTGCAACACAAGAGCTTTTAACTATAATCAGACTGATTACAATTGCTTAAGCCAGCTGCTTAAGCCTGCAAGCATGAAACTTCCTTGCCTAAACTGCCTGCTCAGGACTTCCTGTTGAATCACCCAGATCAAGACTTCCTTGCATGAACTACATGTTCAGGACTTCTTGCAAAACCCGCAAGCATGATACTTCTTATTCAAGACCTCAAGCATGAGACTTCCTTCTAAATCCACTGATTGAGACTTCCTTTCTCTGCCCGCAAGCATGAGACTTCAATTCCTAAACATCCAGTTCAGGAATTTTTGATCAATCATCAGAAATAGACGTTATTCTAAGCATAGAGGCTAGAGTCTTCATATTCTCATAATAGAGGAATCTGGTATTAACCTTGTGTCCATATAAGTGCTTCTTGAATAAGAAGATACACAAAGTTTACACTCTTGATTAGATTTGAGTTGATTGCTCCTGAGTGCAGAAGAATGAAAATTTGATTCTTCTTCTCTCCTTGAACAAATTTCCCTTTTGTTGTGCCTTCCTGTTCTGATGAACATATTCACATATTCTATCTTCAGAATGTATGTGTACATGTTTCACTTTGCTCTCTCACACTTAACATTTATGGTTATATAATCTTTTGATGTATGTTTCTCTCAACTCATTTCACCGAACTAGTATCACATCCAAGTGAACACAGTCACAAAATCTTCAACTCACATTCATTCTCTTGAGAGGTTGAGGTTCATCTCAGAGAGAGATGTTCCAAGAAATTTCTTCTTCAAATAACACTGAATGTTTTCAATCTTCATTCTTAAATAAATACTAAAATAGATTTGTTGAAGATTGGAACTACTATGGTACAAATATCCATTGAAAGCTATCATGGTACAAGTATCCGTTGAAGGTCTTTAGTTGATGGACAATAGAGTGAGCTAATACTCAGCTAGCATAAAGACGTTGAGAGTTGTAGAACAATTGGAGAGAGAAAATCCTGACAACCTCAGTATCACCATATTTGACATAAAGTAGTGTATCGTTGTCACATGATCTTCCTTGGATAACTTCTAACTTGAGCCTTCTTATATATGTTTGTTGAAGTTTTCTTAGAGTCATTGTTATCCTTATACTTAGCTTTCTGATTCAGATGATTTTAATAGAATTAGCTAAAGCATGATCAGAAGTTGAAGTATGTCTTTAGAACCAGATTGGAATGAGACATTAGAGTCTTGTGTTCATAAGTTCCGAGTCTTGTCTTCATCAGAGTCTTGATCAGAACTAGTCTGGATAATGCTTTCACAGTTAATGACTTGATATACACAAATCCCTTTGAAGTAATGTCTTTAGAACTTCTGATGCAACTTGTTCAGAAGATGTTGAGTTGTTCCTTATAATATAGTTTGATTGTTTCAAATGGTTCCATTCTTCAGAGTTTTATTGATCTTTGTATTTCCTGTTAAGTTTAAGTTTAGCATCTGAAAGACTTGAGTCAGACTCTTCAAAGTCCAAAAGCTTGATTATGATCATTCAGAGTCTTCAGAACAACTTTGTTCTCTTTAATGATTGTTTTGAGTGATTAAATTGATTAATATTATGGTTAATGTCTTTTGATCCTGCACACTTAAATAACCGTTAGTAAACCCTATTGTTCTTTCAATATTTTGTTATCATCAAAATCTTTTAAGGGAATGAACAAATATTGTTCAAAAAATCTCCCTACTTTTTATGATGACAAACAAATGTATTTAAGAACAATGGGTTGTGATTTAATTAACACAGTCTAACATCAGAGTCTGAGGCTTGTAAGCTCCCCCTAAGTTAGACGGTCCTTTATGGTGAGGTTTGTAAGCTCCCTCTAAGTCTGGTAGTCCATTAAGACGAGGTTCGTAAGCTATTCTTAACTCATTATCTGTGTTAATTTGATCTTATAACATTAATCAAAAAATTCTAACATCAGGTTGAGGTTTGTAAACTTGCCCTGAGTTTGGCAGACCTTAAGTCGATGTTTGTAAGCTCTTCCTTTAGTCTGACAGTTCATTAAGGTAAGGTTTGTAAGCTTTCCCTAATTTCATGTCTTTGTTAATTAAGTTAATCATTTAAGCCCAATAAAATATATTACACAAAACATAAATAACTTAAAATTAAATAACTTAAAGTTTATAACTCAAAAGTTGTTTTAGCGGACACTACTATGTACATATGATTTTATCTTGTTAAATACTCTATACATTTTCTCCCCCTTTGTCATTATCAAAAAGTTTATAAAAGAAAGAGAAAAAAATAATAAAACTGAAAAAAGATTTAAAAAAATTTTAAATGCCAGAATTTTGAAGAAGTTTTAAAAACATGATAGAATTTGAAACACAAAAAAAATAAAAATTAAAGATTGATACCAACAGACGGTTTAAAACATATTGATACTAAGTTGAAAACAATTTTAAAACACAATTTTAACTAAAGAGATTATTTACTTCTGATGGTAAATCACTACCATTTCAGTTTCCAAAAAGTAATTATGATTTAGTATGACATGCTTGTTGGTGTAAGCCCTAGAGGCCAATACTTTTTGGTACTTGTATCGGATTATTCGTTTAATAATAAAAGGCATTTCTTTATTATGTTTGTCTTTCAGAATAATAAAGTCCCTAGAATAGTTAGTCTGTTTAATGAAATGTTAAGTGTGACTTAATCATGAGATCCCATTAAACATAAAGACATTATTCTTAAAATATCCGTAGTCAAGCTTTATTGCAAAGTGGGATAACATTAAAAGCATTGAGACTATTATGAAGATAGACTGATGATCACATCTCATGGATCATGGATAAAGAGTTATCAAGTCTTGACATAGGTATAAATATTAGGAGTAATATTTATACCGGATTGACCC